GGAGAGGGGGCTGACGGCTGGGGGTACGTTTCGAGAAGTAGAAGAAAGGGGGTTGAGGGTTTCAATTTCCTTTTTGTTTTCCTTTTTTGTTTTCTTATTTTTTTTACCAAAAATAAAATAATTTTGTTAAACCAAAAATATGACTAATGACCTTAAATAAGAGGGGATTTCCTAATCCTTTTTTAACAAGGAGACCAACTTGAAAAAGGATTTGGATATTAACATAAAATTAAAACCGAATAATAGAAACCAAAAGAGAGAATTAAATTTCCAAAACTTAGGATTAAGATTTAATTAAAAATCATTCTCCAAAATTTGAAAACTTAATTTATCTTAACTATCTAAATTAAACTTAGATTCTCATTTATCCAAAATTAGAACTCCAAATTAGAAAATCCAAGAATTTAAATTAGTAGCTTACAGGAGAAATCCAAATGCTCGATTTAAATCTTAAAATAAAAATAACCTGAAAAGTCGAGGTGTTGCAGCTCCTCATGGTGTTCTGCATCATCTTCAAGAATAACGTGCATGCTTGATTCTTAACTCTATGAGGTGCCATCGATGGAAAAAGTATACTAAGATTACTCATCTAAGCTACTAACCCAAAACGACTAAGACTACTAGCCCTTAATGAAAGGTAGCAACCTAAGTATTAACATAAAACAAATATGTCAACACAAGCAAATAAATTAAAAATAAGAGGATACAAAGTCCATAAGGTAAACAACTATAAGATATCAAGTCAATGTACCTCGTGATGGGGAGGAGACCAAGAAAGACCATAACCCTAAACGACCTAGGTGCTAGGCCAGTCTACAGGACCAACTCTGCTCTGATACCAACTGTAACGCCCAAGGATTTTCAACATCCCAACGGGACCGTTACTGAAAGCCACCTAAAAAGTCTCATTCGTACTAGAGAATTAAACCACTAGACATACAAACTATGACAACCTCTCACCACGCTTCCGCTGTGCTACTCTGAATAATAACACTTATAAAAAACTTGCACTAAACAAACCAAACACCACTAAAGTTCTAACGAAACTCAAATTCTTTATAGGTAATAATTTAATAACAATATAACCTTATAAAATCTCTCAATGAAATCTTTACTATTCATAAAACCATCCACTACACGAATCTAACTTTCACAAAAAGGCAGCGAACCAAAACCTAACTCAAGTTCAACTTGAACAGATGTATTATACCGATAAATATCTTTAACATATTACATCACCACAGTTCAAGTAGCTAAACAAAATTAATGTTCGCCAGAATAACGAACTGTCAATCTTAAAACATCCCCTAAATAAGGAACTTAGCAAAACAATTTGTTAATCTAATAACAAACTCAAGCTACAAATAAACAACTATAACTATCCTATTCAAATTGAAACTTAACAACGCAATATTAAATGGTCTCTCTAGTCAAGTCTCCTCCTAGTCAACTATAACTTCGAGTCGTACCGACCCCTGACCTCGCGTAGCCAAGGCATAGACACTTCTCTACGGTGCTCGATGTTAGACCTTGACATTTATCCCCAAGGCCTCAACTACTACTCAACGTATTGACCTTTGGTTCCAAGCAACTTCTAACCTATCACATTATGTTAGTCCTCTAAGTCTAACTCATAGAATCATATCGGCTATTGCCATTTAACCCCAAGGCCTGGCACTCATCTACAGAAGCTTGGCGTTCGACCTTGCCATTTATCCCCAAGGCCTCAACTACTACTCAACGTATTGATCTTTGGCCTCTAAGCAACTTTTAATCTATCACATTATGTTAGACGTCCAAGTCTAACTCTTCGAGTTGCATCGACCCTTGTCATTTATTCTCAAAGCTCGACACTCATCTACTAAATCTTGGCGTTCAACCTTGCCATTTATCCCCAAGGCTTTGAACTGTGCATCGACCCTTGACATTTATTCCCAAGGTATCGACCACTACTCAACGTATTGGTCCTTGATCGCCACCACATCAAGACCCAATACTAATTCAACAATTAGAATCACCATGCCGACCCCCGACCTCTGTACTTGGAGCCTCGACACTCATCTCTACCAAGTTGGGGTATCGATCCCCGAACTTTGCACCTGGAGTCTCGATACCCAACTAGTGACGTGCCATCCCTCTGGCCGTGTTACTCATCCACACAGTTCATTATATCCTGAAACTCTCACCATAGTCCTTCATGCTTTTAAGTCATGACCCATGCATAAACTATCTCACAATAATGCAATATGTGTTATACACAAAAACATATGCCACTATCATCCAGACATGGCCATCCAACATCACAAGAACACCTTTCTCTCAAGATTCAGCATGATTTACACACCATAGCGTAGATAATTCACAAAAGAGACGTAGCAAACATATATCCAGAAATGTATCCAACACTCTAAAATGTTTAATAGTAATCAGAATACAGCCAATATGTATAATGTAGTACCAACCGCAAGCAATCATGCAACAACATTCATAGACACACAAACAAATATTTCGTACATATCAACTCACAACAAATAATCACCTCAGTAAGAAATTACTTACACAAACTAACACGTCACTAATACTGTAATAATCGATACCTAAAAAAAAGAGACCAAACTTATGTTAGAAACTAGATAGAAACACTTAAATCCAATTGGAAAGAAGGTTCAAGCGAGTTATTACCTATTAAACCATGATGAAACAATTTGGGGCTTGGTTGGATTGATGTCGAATGAGTTCGGTAGTGCAAAACTGAGCTCGAAAAGGCTCAAACGTGCTGGTCTGATGCCGAAAAACAATTGATAACGCAAATAAATCTCCGTTAGGGTGTGGGTGAGTGCTGAAAAGATGCCATCGGGGGTGGGTATCGCAAATCGACTTCGCACAAGGGTGGGTATCGTGAATCGGCTTCGTTTGGATATGGGTCAATGCTGGAACAAAGGAATCTTCACGAATCGAGGCTGAACATCATAGATCTGGGCTCGGGTTGCCGGATCTGAGCCAACACCGCGGTTGCTGTGGGGGTGACGCATCGAATCTGGCTCGTGGAGGCAGCGCCACCGTGGGTTCGGGGTCACCATAGTTGCTGCACAGAGAGAATGACACTGCGGGTCTTGGGTCGTCGGTTTTGGTGCAGACCACGCTAGAAATCATCGATTCGTGGTGGAGACGCCGTCGGAGAGAATGCCGGAAAACCAAACACACTGCCGTGGAGACTAGCTCGCATCACTACTTATGGAGGCAGAAGGATGCCCGTGGGTGGACTCTTCTCGCCGGATCTACCACAGTAGGCGGCTGAGGTAGGGGGAAGGAAGAATAAGATATTCTAGGGTTTTGTCTTTCTTTTCCAAAGCATAAAAAAAAAATACTTAACCCAAAGTAATGTTAAAAGCCTTATAAATAAGGAGAACTTTTCTTAAACAAATGATTAAAAGGAAAACCACTTTAAAAGACTTCGGAAAATAATTTAGGATCATAACTTATATTTAAAACATAGTAATAAAATCCAAACGAGATAACTAAATTTCCAAAACGTTAGATTAAGATTTAATTATATATCTCTTCCCAAAAATTGAAAACATAATTTAGCTTATCTAACAGAATCAAACTTAAATTCTATTTTATCCAACGTTAGAACTCCAAATTAGAAATCCAAGAATTTAATTATCAGCTTAGGGGAAAATTTTAAATGCCCAATTTAAAACTTAAGATAAAGATAACCCAAAAAACTCGGGGTGTTACAACGAATAACCATAGCTCCAAGTAGAAAATGATGATCCATCAATCCTTGATGTGACCAACAATGTAGGCATGGAGAAGGAAGTTAAATTGGATCAACCGATTGAGTTAAGTACAAAAAAAATGAATATAAGGTCCCAAACCATTGTTTGTAGATATGAGACCACTCTCTTCTTTCCCTCAAACTTATTTTCAAGATAATTCACCTTTAGATGTGGGACCACTTTCTCCCTTCCCTCAGCATTTTTTAGAGGAAAATCAAAACCAACATAAAGGAGACTTGACCAATCTCCACGATGAAGAAAAGGGAACAAAAAAGGAATAGTACATGACAGATTCAAATGACGAGAGAGATTGCAGTAGGCTTAAACCCGTAACTCGTAGCTATTAATCACTCTCTCATTTCCCTTGAAAATTTATTCAAGACAAAAAAATGAGGAATTCACCATACATCTTGAGAATGAAGTAAATAAAGAACAAAAGAGGATGCGACATATTCTAACGAAGGATTTTATATTGAAACAGAAGTTTCAATTCTCAAAAGTGAATGTAGAAAAGTATCAACCTACCCCTTGAGCTGAACTATCAAACATATTGGGCTTTAAAGAAAAGAAACTATGATATGACAGTAGTGGAAGAAAGATCAAATTAGCTCGAGGAAATGAGTTGAAAGTCAAAAGCTTCCAAAAGTTCTTTAAAGTTAAATCTGTACGGGGGAGTTGTATATTACTTTCAAGATTACTTAAATTAAAGTGATTTACGTTCTGAAAATTTTTTTTGTGTATTTTTGTTGTGGATAATGATTTTTTCAAAAAAAAAAAAACCATAAAGAAACGCACAAGTTAGATCTATTAAAGGTGATAAATCAATTGGATCCTCCAAGATAGTTAAGACTACTAAGAATCAAACATTTTTCACGATTCACTCCAACAAATCAGAGTTTTAATGTCGGAAAAAAAAATATGGAGGAAATGATGACGGACAAAAAAACTTGGAGGAAACAAGGACGGACCAGTTAAAAAGGGCGTTAAAATAAAATAAAAATAAAAATAAAAATTTTAATGACGGGTCAAGCCCGACATTAAAGATTACCCAATTTTTAAACCTAACTCTAGTTTTCACCCAAAAAATATCTGCCTCCCAGCTCCATAGTCTTTGTGGAAGGGTGCACGAATGGCAGTGGGAGCGACAGAGAACTCCAACGATGACCTCCATCTCTTCGATCGATGGCGACGTTCATCTCTTCAAGCACAACACCTTCATCCCTCCGAGCGACATTCAGTTTGGTCCCTATATTTTTCCATATTTTTCTCCTTCCTCTCGATCTTCTTTTCTCTGTTTTCTCTGTTTTTATTTTTAGATCATCTGCTGGAAAAAAGGACGAGAAGACGGGAAGCTCATTTTCCTTTCGATTTCCCCTGCTTTAATATGACTTTCTACTATATCTATGCTCGATCTCATCTACGATTGCGATTTTCTTTTCTTGTTTGTTTTTTGGACGATTTATAATCTAAATGAACTTTTATTCTTTCGTGAATTTGTGCAAGAGAGGGATCTCGATGCTTTGAAGATCCTAGAAGGAGAGTCCCTTATTGTTCTTCTCAGGCTATGAACCACCTGTTGAAAGCCCTAAATATCAAGTACCCACTCCCCTATTTCTTGAGGATAAATGTTTGTTAACTTGCTAATTTTGTTGATTGACTATTGCATACTTGAGTAACTTGATTGTGATCATTGGGATACACGAAACTTAGTTGAACGATGAACTTCACAATAGAATGGTGGTTTTGCTGTTTGCACTCCACCATGGACTCCACAATGGTAAGTTAGAGTGTTCGTTTCAATTACTATTAGTGTGGTACTCGCATTATTTCTTTAATAGCCACGATAAAGGAAGTTAGTACATATAATTTTCTTCTCAACTGAAACTTTTCTTATTCTTGATGTTTACATAACTCACACTCAGTAGTGCATATTTCCCTTCCCCCATTTCATTTTTGGACGACTTTCGTCCTTTTATATTGCTTTTGCCTTCTAAGTTATTCGATTTTATATCCTCCCCTCTGATTTTCCCCTTCTCGGTATTGGACAAATTGGACTAATTGTACTCCTCGTATTTATGGTTTTGTTTGAATTTCTGTGATGTTTTTTCCTCATGGTTTGGTTTTCTGTTGAATGATTTGAGTATCTGCTCATCTGGGTTGCTTTTGTTTTGAGAGAATTCTATGGCATTTGGTTTTTTCTGATTGTACTCTTTATGTATCTCTAGTTTCTTTAGTTGCAATACTTTGTTGGTCTTTTTGTTTATAATAACTTATTATTATGTGAATGGATGTTTGGTTATGGAACCATAATTCTTGCATGAGTTGGTGTATTTGGTATTTTTGAAAGAAAATTAAGTTATATTTAAAATTGGACTTGAGTGAGTGCATTCCTGAGATGAGATTTTAAAAAGCATATTATCTCGATATTTATTGTTTCTAGTTTTGGCCTTGATTCTATAAGAATGAGAAAGTTGGAATAGAGTAACTCTTGGTATTCTAATAAATGGAAAATATGCATTTCTAAGAATGAGCTAGAGCGCCTAGGTGTTATAGAAGAAAAAAGTGGGTTGCTAGAAGTAGACTTCCCTTCAGGACAAAATTCTTGCTTAAATTCCCAACGACCTTCTACTTAGCCTTGTGTTATATAGCTAGCTATTGAACGTAGAACTTGGAAGATGAGATATCTTCTCTCTTAATTTTTTATATTTTTATTAAAGGAGGATGAGATATCTGGTTAAGAAAAAAGGTCGTAGATTTAGAGATTCCATAATGTTTTGACTTGTTGGTATTATGAAAGTGCCAACTTTCATTGAGTTTGTTTATGCAAGGATATGCACAACAGTGTATTCCAGATTGCAGCTCGAACTCGGCCTTCGGACCGACCTGAATACTTGGGCGGACCTGCATAAAAAGGTGAGCACTCCGACGATCAAGTCAGTATAGGTCGGACTCCCAGTTTAGTTCGAGGTCAGAAATCATCGTACCTGATCGTAGAGTGAGGTCCTCTACTTATGGTAGTCCCGCTAATCTCTCGACGGTTATACCCGGTAATCTCGGGACCGTCAGTTACACCCGGTAATCTCGGGACCGACGGTTACACCCGATAATCACGCCGCTGACAGTAGTTCACATCGGCCCCCACCGAGCTTCCCGGTAGGTCGGACCTCGGCCAGGTTCACCTCGGCCCTCATACTTAGCATCTGTCGATGCTAGCGGTGGTGATCTCGGCGGTCCGAGCTGGGCATGACTCATGAGTCATCTTGGAGCACCAATAGGGGTCCTCCACGTGTCCAGGGTATCCTCTTCCCCAAACATTGGCCCCCTYTCTGTCTGGTCCGATCTCGACCTGGYAGAGAAGTTCATTCGATTTGCTTTGGACGMGTGGCGACTTCCTATTCGTGGGAAAATATGACCGTTGCGGTAGATTTATCGTCRGAATATTCAAATATTCCGACGCTTCGGATCTTAGGGAGGATCCTAGCCGCTCGTTGATTACACGTGTACGGTGGGRAAATTTTTCCGACGGGCTATAAWTRCCCCSAATCCTTCAGGTCATACCTTACGTTCCCTGAATTCTTGGAGTTCGATCTGAAGGCAGCTCGAACCCTTGGTAGGTCGGTCTCTTCCCTCACTTTTTCTTTCGAACGTAGTTGCCATGTCGTCCTCTTTTAGCAGCAACCTAGGATCCGATGAAGATTTAGCTCGTAGGTTAGAGTCCGAGCTCGAGGAGATAGAAAACTTTAGGTTCTCCGATGACGGGGAGGATAGTGATGCCTCCACCTCGGGTCAGGGTTTGGAATACCCTTCTAGGATACCTGAGCACTACCTCGGATCCTTTCGTAGGGGGTTCGCTATCCCTGAGA